GTGACAACTCCTACAATGGTCAACAGCCTCAAAAAGCCAGTCAATTCCGCCTAAAGAACCCTAAAAACCATATGATGAAGCAATGTAATGATCATGTTACTAATGTATGATGTAATTTACACAGCCAAAAGTGATCAATGATGTAGTTGTATGATGTACAGCACTTCTTATGATGAATACAGGTGTTTTTTCCTTGCTAGCTGAAACCCATTTTGAGGAACTCACATAATTTTTTGGGGCCATTAAACACTTATGTATGTATTATTATCAATGGCACAGCGTGATAGAGAAGAAGGAAAAGAACAAATTAGATGAAAGAGACATTTGTTTGAAGTGGCTACTTTTTTCCCTTAGATTGCTGAGCCTGAAAGGCCAAAATATAAGCCCAAGCATTGGCATATACACCTGATAAATCAATACCAGACTTTAGCCATTCCTGTACACTGACCAGTTTGCTGATTGTTCTCGCTGTCAAAGAGGCTTGTCCGGGCACTGCTATATTGGCTGCAGATGAAAAGGTCCTCTCGCATGGGCAAGAGGTACCAGATACCCCGATATAATTGCAAGCAAGGGTTGCCAGGACAGGGAAGTCCTTTTCATGCTCCTAAAAGTAGCAAAGTCATGTTAGGAATTCAATACAAAAAATTTAGAGTAAAATAAACCCACCTGCCACCAAGCCAGTTTGTTCTGACCTGCAACCATCAAGTGAGCACCATCTATATAGTCTACGTATTTGTTCCGACGTTTATCGCCTTCTGACTGAGACAAAACTTGGGTTGTGAACACATCAAAGAGGGAACAGTCACCAAGAGGAGAACCAGAAGGGGAGGGGGATCAAAGGTTCTCATCTGGAACGGGGTTGGTATCTTCAGGCCATTCCCGTAATGCTTATTCAAAGGCATGATTGAAGATTTCTTTGGCTTGGGCCGCCTTGTCAGGATAGTTCAGGTCAAAGAATTGTAGGCGAAGTCTAGGGTTGAGAATTATCAATAAGATGATTACTTCAGAAGCGGCTGCCTGGGCTTGATAACCCTCGAGCTTGGTGCGCATGACATAAAGCATCCTCTTCAGCTCGGTATCATCACAATTATCCATAAGCTTATCAACTTCCTGAACAACCCGAGAGTATTCAGCAAGGAGTATGCAGCCCGTTGCCTTGTTGCCTTCCATTTGTTTGGTAGCATACAGAAAGATCTGATAAAGGATCAAGTTCAGTTAACAATCAGATCATACTGGAACGAGGAAAGTAAAGTGGAATTACCTGCAGTATAGAGACTAATTCTTCAATAGAATCCCATTCCTCGGGACTGATGTATATACCTTGAAAATATTGAGTTTTTCAATTGGCAAGGAGAATTGCATTGACAACCTACAAGAGCAGATAAAGAAATTCATTCAAGATATTGCTTTGATGGAGGAGTAAAGTTTGGACCTACATCACGTGCGTCACTCAAGCCTTTGAGGTAATCCGCGTCAATATTCCATCGGACTCCCCATCCAGAGATGAGGGATTGGCCCTGATAATCCATATGTTTTGCTTTTCCTAAGAACTCCTGATGTCTTGCTGAACTGCCGGTACATAACCCATTGAACTGTTTGGCCTACAATTAGAAACAATAAGCTGTTCATTCTTCCTAGCAAGATGGGAATAAAGAAAGAAAACATAAAGAAAGAAAACATACTTTACGAACAGCTCAAGCCACATTGGAAAGAGCAAGATCATCTTTGAAATCAGAGCCACAATCCGAAGCATTTTTGTCTGGTATACTGCCTACTGCAGGATGCTGAATCAAATCACTGTTGTCGTCCTGCTCATCTTCAGATGATTCCAATGCAACATCTTCTTCCCCGTTGTTCACGGTCACAGTAGGCATAGGTAAGGTGACGCCGGGCTGGGTTGTTGGCTTGATATGGCCAGCTCGCATGCCAAGTGACTTGAGCCCTGCTTTGACCACAAGACAAACCTTGTGAGTGTAGCACTTTAACTGGCACTGCAGACATTATTCGGGTTCCCCAAGTGGGCAGGGAAAAATGATTGGGAGTATGATTTGTCATAAAATGGTCTATCACTCCACACCTGAGCCATAACACCCACACTACATATGTGTAGCAGGCTCAGTGAATATGTGGTTATCATGTACATACAGTTCTGCTCAGTTATCTGCTCATCAGGACAAGTTATTCATATGTAATACATGCTGTAACTTCTTTCAGATTGAAAAAAGCTTCCAAAAGATTGACTACATACACTGACTCAATGTTTTGGTGTGATCTCATCAACTCAACTGCATGTAACACACTTTCTGTTACTAAGACATAGCTTCAACAATATTGCCTGAGCAGCTACAGAATTATATGTAGTGAATTTTTGGGAAAAAAATTTCAAAGTCGAAAAAGTTACATGTGGTATAACATGTGATTTATTTATTCTGATGGGCAAAAAACTGAGCAGACCTGTATGTACATGATAGACAACTATTGACTTAGCTTGCTGCACATATGTAGTGTGGGTGAAATGGCCCAGGTGTGCAGTATTAGATTCTTTTATGAAAAACTGTACTATTAATCATTTTCCTCTGCCAAATTGGGGAAGTTGAATGATGTTTACAGTGCTGGTTAGTTGGATCCCAATCGACGATTTCATCGGCTTCCCTGAACATGTCTGAAAGTTCTTGGGCCATGGTATTGTTCAAGCTGGCTGAGTCAGTCGTCTGACTCAACATGTGAAAACCAATTTCATGTCAGCTCAGACGGATTGATCTCAGTTGGCAAGATATATGAATGAAACAGGCCAGAGAGAAAGGAAAAAGATTTTTGAAAAGTACTTGTCTTTCATGAAGCCCGTTAGATATCAAGAATCTACCAACTGGCTGAGCTAGGAGGCGTCCTGCATGATGCCATGTTACGAGCTTGAGGGTTGGGTGCTCAACTGAGGACCCAAGGCTCATGCTAAGTGGGTAAGGGATGATTGGTAATGTTTGATAATTATCTTTTTATATTTCAATTATAAGGTAATTACAAGAAATATATGAAAGATAGAGAAAGAGGAAAGGGGGACTGGTCTGTTTGGACAAACCCAGACAGACTACAGTTAAATGACTCCTTGAAAGTGTTAAGGCTGAGGTGGCTGTGGCACCGTAAGTGGCCAGGAAGTCTGCCTAGGCTCACCTGTTTCTCGGTTTGGACCAGTTGGAAGTCGCAGGAAGTTTTGGACAAAACAGGTTTCATTCTATCTCTAGCATCATTTTTTGTTACGCCTTGTCAAAACTTGTTCCATATAAATTGTTCTTTGTTCTTCCTACAAATTGTGTTTTCTTCTCCATTGTCACAATCTTATTTGTTTCGGTAGATTATTCACTAACACTAGTTCAACTAGGTAGAGAGAGGTAGAGCTTATTTTTCTCATATGCAATTGTCACAATCTTATAAACTTAGCAAAGTCCCACGCTCGCGCATCCTTGCAAGGCGTCAAGCGAGGGACTTATGCCAAACTTGCACAAACTCATTGCTCAGGGTTTGATCCTTTTGCAGGAGAGCACATTCAAAGCCCTCTACAGCCTTTTCCTTCAAGTAACGGTTCCCTGGACCCAAGAAAGAAAATGTGCGCTGTTCTTTTCCACACATTGTACATGTTTTTTTCCCGAGGAAGTTGCTCCCCTCCTTCCTTAAATTTATCTCGAAGTTTCTAACAATTTATATGTAGATGTAACATGTGTGAGTTTTATGTAGGTGGACTGCGGTGGAAAAAACATGACAAAACTCGCTGCCAAACCTGTGTATTTTTTAAGGAATTGCTAAACAACACTACGCTCGGTCGATCCTTCCAAAGAATATATCAATTCGTATCCTCAAGCGTACTAATGGCCATGTCCTTTTTCTAGAGCGCTCTTACAAAGGGCTATACTCACAATTGGTTGTGAAGTCCAGCCGAGCTTGACTTTAACTCACTTACTCCGACAAAACGGCAAAAACTAAGTGACTCAAACTTAACTAAAGTGACTTAGCACTCGCAGCAGTTTTACATGTTACAGCTCAGAGTTTTTAAAAAACTTTAGATGATTTTTGAGGAAGGAGGGGAGCAACTTCCTCGGGAAAAAAAACATGTACAATGTGTGGAAAAGAACAGCGCACATTTTTTTTCTTGGGTCCAGGGAACCGTTACTTGTAGGAAAAGGCTGTAGGGGGCTTTGAAGGTGCTCTCCTGCAAAAGGATCAAACCCTGAGCAATGAGTTTGTACGAGTTTGGCATAAGTCCCTTGCTCGACGCCTCGCAAGGATGCACAAGTGTGGGACTTTGCTAAGTTTAACAATCTTATTTGTTTTGGTAGATTATTCACTAACACTAGTTCAACTAGTTTGTGTTTCATCTGTCTTTGTCCCAACAAAAAGGAGAGTTTAATTGAACAAATATGACACAAAATCTTACAACAGCTGTATATACATATTTTGTTAAATATATTCTTGAGACAACTACTTCCATCACAACCTAATTCCAATGATGATAAGTAAAAACATATTTTTATCCATTAGATTTGCAGCTAACCATGATTTGTAATATTGGAAAACTGTTTGAAATCAATAACATAATTCACAACATATTTGAAATTGCTACAGTTATCATCTTGTCTATCCTTCACACCCTCAACACCTGCTTCCAACAAGTTCAATGTGTCACTGTGTTGTTTTACAGTTGTTCTCAGAAATGTTGGAAAAATCCAACATCTCCAGCTGAGTGTTGTGGTCACATGACTCGGGCACGACTGCGGCACAGACATCACGTGCCAAAGACAACAAAACCTCTCCTGTTTGCTCCAAGATTCCACATCAACATTGTGGAATCCTTGCTATTTTCATACTTATGCGTTTTTGTTTATCTTGTTCTCTACTATAGGTAAATCAACATTGTGGAATCCTTGCTATTTTCATACTTATGCGTTTTTGTTTATCTTGTTCTCTACTATAGGTTATGAGCCTGCGCTCACGGTTCGACTCAATCCTGAATGAACACAAGGAGTAGGGACTACGCAGCGAACCCCAGATCTCCACCTAAACGAAAGAGACGTAATCAACGCAAAACGAATACATTACCTGAAATAAGCACGAACAGTGAAAATCCACATACATCTTCCCCATATTTCTCTTACAATCTTTCCGCTCTACCTCCATTACCACCATCCCTGTTAAACTTTAACTTAACGGAATTGCCTAATCTTCCTGATTCACCCTCACTCACACCAACTCAGTCTCCACCGTGTGAAGAACTATCTTTCCAAACTATGTCATTGAAATCTAAAACATCACCAATTGATCCTGCATCTCCGGATCTCACTACGTTACATCACCTACCAGAGTCAACAACGCCCAAATCGGAGTTAGTTGAAACTTTATCTAAACTACAATTACGAGATACAGCACTTGTATCTACCTACTCTGTTGATCGCACTACGAAACCATACCCAACGCTATCTGAAAGATTCTTCACGTCCGACCAGAAGATCTTCGAACGAAATCCCAAAATATTCCCAAAGAGATACTTCATACATAACGTATACAACAAGATGTCTGAATCGAAATCAACCGATTCACCAACTACGACTACGACGAAACCTGCTGCCACTCTGACAACTCAAGACATAACTGAAGCGAAGGAGAATTTAGGAAATTAAATTAAATTTGATCACCTAAACGCCAACGGATCAAACTTTGTGGAATGGAAGAAGAACACCGCAAGAGCCATCAAGGCGTTAATCGGAATCAAGAACTACTGGGATTGTCAGCCTTTGACTAAAAACTTAGAGCAAGTAGTATAGAAAAAGGGTGAATGGTACTTACGAAATGTAAATTTCAAGCTATAAGCTTGTAAATTGATTTTTCGATTCTTCGCGTAAGTGATTGGTTCTTATGAGTTAACTCGTTTCAGAATGACAACTCTATAATTTGTACTGGCTAAAGTGGATACCTAAGTAAACTGGCTTTAGCTTTGCTTTAGCAAAAATGTTGAACAAAAGTATTCAATCAAAGAAAAATAGTTGTAAAGGACTACAGTCGGATAAATGTAATTTAAACGATCTTTGTAGTTCCTTGAATTTAGAAGAGAGATAGAGATAAAAAGAGAAAAGAGACAATAACTAGAATCAGTGGTGCTTTAAAGAGTCTAACGATAAGAGATCTAAGATAGCAAAAACTGGTTGTTAGTAAATTGTAGGAAGAAAAGGTGGTGACTCGATGATCTTCACAAATAACTGTTCCTTAGTAATAAAGAGAAGATATTTGATAGATGAATTTTTAGTAAGTTGTGAATGCGGTGAGTCTCTCTCTTTTTCGGAAAGATAGACTCGTATTTAAGTGGTTCTGTTTTGCTTTCTTCGTTTGCTTGGTCAAGGATCAAATCAGCCTTGTTCGTAGTTCTGTTTTAATTAAACCCTTATCTTCGATAAGGGCTGGGTATTGGTTGTCTTGGTTCTAGATTGGACTGGTTCAGGGTTCTTGTGCTTCAGCCTTCTTTGGTTCGCTAGGGTAATAACTTGTGTAACCAAGTTCTAAATTGGCTAAGGGTTCATTTTATTATCAAATGTGGTACGCTCTTGATACTAGAGTGAGAGAGGTGTGTTTTAATTTGTATTTTAATATGTATATAATATTTTATGTGGTTTCTTAAGGATGGTTATGTTAGGATTGCTTTGTCAGATAATACGTATTCTGCTCTGCAGAACTACTCATAGTTGACAGGGATGTTGACCTGCCGGTTTCTACATACTTAGATAGAAAACGAGACGCTTTAGCGACCAGTGTGATCAATAACACAATCCACATGAACTTGAAAAATGTCACTGACGACTCTGACACCGCGTACAAAGCAATGGAAGCACTCCAAAATCACTTTCGAAAAGGAGGTCGCACAGCTCAATTTGCCCTTTTCACTCAATTAATGAACTTGAGATTAGACTTAGCTGAGACTGAAATGATCAATCACATGTCCACTGTCAACTCTATCATATCGGAAATCGAATCCACAGGTTTTATATGGAACTCAGAGTCGATAAAAGGTTTATTTTATCAGATCGTCATGCCGCCTGAAATGACCAAAGAAATAAATAAAGACCTTGATAATAAGTACGACAAGAACAATCCTAATTATAAATTGAAAGATATCAAGTCAGCTATTCAGATTTATTTAGCGCGTGAAAGAACTGCATCAGAAACGATTGTGATTAACAACCTCAGCACTCAGATGGAAACTATGTCGATGAGCACCACGCCAAGGAGTTTTAATCAAACTAGACAATTTACCCCAGCTAGATCGTCAGGAAACAATTATCAAGCTTCCCCCACGTCACGTTTCACTTCTCCTTGCCCAGCACCGAAAATCGATCCGATCAGATGGCAAAGGGGACCTTCAGCATGGAGCAGAAACGAGAATGATCGCAAAAACTCATCAAACGTACCTCTCGACATACCAAGCAGTGCTGTTGGGGGTGTGAGGTCTGGATTACTTCAATGTTTCATCTGTGGGAATTTTGGTCACGTCTATAGTACCGGAGGTTGTAAATCATACGATGGAAATGGAGATCGTACTGGAGCTCATTGGAGAGACTGGAGGAAAGTCAGTAATGGTCAATGGTATAGCTTGAATGCATTATTCCCGAATAAGTACAGTCTTCCAGTAAATCAAAGATCGTCATCACTCCGCCCCAACGCTAGCTCAATAGAAGTCACAAACACTGAAAGTCAACCACGAATTGAGGCATCAGCTGTGGATCTCGACTGGTCTTCGGAGGGTTTTGGTCTCACCAATGGTGACAGTGAAGTTCCCACTGAGTATTTATTTGATGGTGGCGCTACCGATGCTGTAAGCAACGATCGCACGTCATTAAAGAACTACCACCACTTACCCAACCTGCTCCCTATCAAGACAGCAGCTAATGACTCTAATGCTGTTATAGTAGGTAAAGGCGATCTTGAAATTTTAACAGAAGACGGTGAAGTTGCGGTCATCAAAGATGTCTATTATTGCCCGAAAGCGACGACTATGATCATCTCACCCGGAGCGTTATTAGCAAGTGGAGCAAAAATCTCAATGAAAGAAGATAATAACTATCAAATAAAATCAAAAAATGGAAAGGTCTTATATGCTGTACATAAAAACAGAAGATGGTTTATTCAATCAAGAAAATTTAAAAAATCAAATTGTACTCCCTCTGCTTTGTCTCATTCAGTATGCGCAATGAAATCATCTCACAAATTATCCCAAATGTGGCATGGACGCCTAGGTCACGTGTCTTTGAAGAGAATTAAGAGACTATTCAAAAACCATGATGAATATGGATTTCCGGATCTGAAACACTCGGAGGTAACTTGTGAGGATTGCCTAAAGAGTAAGAGCATACGTCACAGAACATTAGGCAGTACTAACAGAGAACCTAGGGTGATGGAAATCCTTGTGACTGATGTTGCAGGACCCTTCACACCGTGCTTAACAGGTGAACAACTTATGGTGACATTCCGAGACGTAGCATCAACGTTTTCAGAAGTATGCATAATCAAGCACAAATCAGAAGTACATCAAAGATTAATAAACACAATCAAGAAGTGGGAAAGAATGACGGACATGAAAATTAAAACTGTAAGATCAGATCATGGAGGAGAATACATTGGTGCAAACTTGAGCAAATGGCTGAAAGAAAATGGAATAAATCATGAATTTTCTAATCCTTATGAACCAGAACAAAACGGGAATGCTGAAAGACTCAACAGAACTCTTGGAGAAATGGCCCGAACGTTGTTATCAGCAAGTAAACTATCAAACAAATTCTGGAATTACGCTTACATGACCGCGGCATATATTCACAACCGACTACCGAATTCAATCACAGGTAACAAGACTCCTTTCGAGCTACTTTACAATAGAAAACCCCAGCTAGACATTCTTAGATCATTCGGGAGTGTAGCATTCATACACATTCACCAAGGACAACGACAACCAGGCAAATTAGAAGACAGAGCTCAAAAATGTGTGATGATTGGTTATGTTGAAGGTGGAAAAGGTTGGCTCTTCTACGATGAAGTTTCAAAGACTGTATTCCCTTCAGCAATAGCTCAATTCCCGTACGAAGTCGAATCATTGCCAACAAAGTCAGATGAAGAGATTACATCGTCCAATTCATTAAATAAAATCCTGAATCAAAACGTGAACAAGAAAGGAAGCATTCAGCATATCATCAATGCACTTAAACTAGGAGACTTTGTAGAAGAAATCAAGATTGATAAACAAGATGCGGCGGCAAGTCACGCGTTAAGCGGTGAAGATTATCTCAAAATTCTCAAGCCACCACGTTCTTTCGCAGAGGCTATGAGATCAAATGAATCAGGTAGATGGAAAGAAGCATGCGACAACGAAATGAACATGATGAATAAAATGAAAGTGTGGAAAGTGGTGGATAAGAAGGAAGGTTTGGTACCACTTGATTTGAAGTGGGTGTTTGCGTATAAAAAAGTAGATGATGAAGGAAATACGATCAAATTCAAGGCTAGATTAGTGGCAAAAGGCTTTCGTCAACAGGAAGGCATTGACTATACGGAAACTTTCGCACCAACGGCGACGTTTGCTGGTCTATGAATCTTACTCACAGTGGCTGCTTATCAGAATTGGCCCGTAAACTCATTTGATATCACATCAGCGTATCTCCATAGTGATATAGACTCACTCATTTATTTCTCAATTCCAACAGGTTACATGTGTGAAGCACGTAAGAAGAACCAAGTCTTAGAAGCACTGAAGGCATTATATGGACCTAAACAAGGAGCAAGATGCTGGTGGAAACACATCCACAAGATTCTTACTGAGATGGGATTCAAAAGTAGCCAATATGACCAATCACTTTATATTTACCGTAGAGGAAATGACACCTGTATAATTGTAAGGTTCGTGAGAACCTTCACTGAGGGTCCGGATAAGTTTCCGGCTCGACTTCTCGAGAGAGCACTTAACTAGGAACTTCGTTATCTCATTTGATATCACATCAGCGTATCTCCATAGTGATATAGACTCACTCATTTATTTCTCAATTCCAACAGGTTACATGTGTGAAGCACGTAAGAAGAACCAAGTCTTAGAAGCACTGAAGGCATTATATGGACCTAAACAAGGAGCAAGATGCTGGTGGAAACACATCCACAAGATTCTTACTGAGATGGGATTCAAAAGTAGCCAATATGACCAATCACTTTATATTTACCGTAGAGGAAATGACACCTGTATAATCTGGTTACACAGTGACGACGGATGTGTCACCGGAAGCTCAACCGAACTCCTTCGAGAAATTCATAATCAGCTGAAGGAGAAACTACTCATTAAATGGGATACGTCATTAGATCAAATTGTCGGAGTGAATGTCCAGAGGAATGAGGATGGCAGTTTCACCCTATCTCAACCAGGACTAACTAAGAAGATAATCAAGTCCTTTTTACCAGACGAGAAATCAGCAAAAACACCGATGAACCTTCAAAAAAACCCTATGACACCAACTGAAGAAGAAGAAAAATTTGGCTCAGAAAAGTACCTATCTGCCATAGGAAGCCTCAACTACCTCTCAGTCGCGACACGACCGGACATAACATACGCCGTCAATTACTTAGCCCGTTTCTCATCTGACCCTAGAAGACAACATTGGAATGCCATCGAGCACCTAATTAGGTACGTAAACACCAATGGTGTCCAAAAGCTTAAAAATAAACCGATAAGATCTAAAGTCGATACGCCAATACACACCTACGTTGACGCTAATTGGGGAGGAGAAGGTGCACGATCATCACATGGCTTTATAACTTACTTTCTGAACTGTCCAATCTCGTGGACATCAAAGAGGCAGACGTGCGTTGCTTCTTCAACGTGTCATGCGGAGTACATGGCAATGGGGACGGCGTGTCGAGACGCTGTGTGGATAAGGAATCTCATTGAGGATATCACAGGAAACGGCAACGTAGTAAACATGCATTGTGATAACACGTCTGCAATCCACATTGCAAGTGATAATTCTTCAAATAAGAGAACGAGACATACTGATCGCGAATTCCACTACATTAACGAGCAAGTCTACAAAGGTCGAGTCTTTCTTCATTGGATTGACACAAAATCTCAACGAGCCGACATCTTAACAAAACCACTTGGACCAACACTGCATGACCTAGCTCTAAAAAATCTCAGACTCACTCGATGAAAATCACTAGTAGAAGAATTCATGAATCATCTTTATGTCAGATTATCCACGTCTCAAATTTTATCAACGTTTCTGGTGGAACCGATTCCGTAGACAGAGGTCGACTATACCAGTTTAACTGGGTGAATGTGGTTTTTGTCTCGGGGGAAAGAATTCCAGATAACGCGAATTTTCTTAAAATTCAATATCCAATTATCAAAAATAAATCAATCAAAAAAAGTAGATCAAAGAATGGAAGGAGAGAGAGAGTTTTTTATTTTTTATTTTTTATTTTGATTCTGCGCGCGTAGATATGTTTCTTTAGTGTTATTATTGTGTGTGTTTTGTCTCATTTTATATTGTTTCTTTACTTGTGATTTTGTTTTATTTCTCTGATGGATGTCTGTGACTTGTCGTGGGGGGGGTGTTGTGGTCACATGACTCGGGCACGACTGCGGCACAGACATCACGTGCCAAAGTCAACAAAACCTCTCCTGTTTGCTCCAAGATTCCACATCAACATTGTGGAATCCTTGCTATTTTCATACTTATGCGTTTTTGTTTATCTTGTTCTCTACTATAGGTAAATCAAAATTGTGGAATCCTTGCTATTTTCATACTTATGCGTTTTTGTTTATCTTGTTCTCTACTATACTGAGGTCGTGGTCCCGAGGAGGTGACTTTTTCATGACATGTGTCACGGAAAAGTCATGGCAGCTGTCGAGTGGAGATCAGTGTCCCTTTCACCAACCTCAACTCCCTTGTGTCCTCTCCATGCCATCCTTCCTCTGATCCTCAGCTCGTGTTACAATCCCTTAACCATGAAATCATACGTTGTCACCATTTTTCTGAAGAGATCGGTCCGTTAGCCTGGCCATTGGCAAGATAGGTGTGTGGTCATCGAGGTATGATGGAAAGTAAACAAATTTTCATCTTGAGATACCTGTCAAAATCAAAGTTTTTGTCAGTGTTTGTACACTACGGGTCAATGGTTGACAGGGGAGGATGTCCATTCTTCATCCTCCCCAAGGACATCGCGCGGATGACTGCAAGATATCCTCGCGATGTCTTTTGGGTTCTGGCTGTCAACAATTTGAGTCCGGTTGACACATAAGACAGAACCCTGAGACGAGTCCCACGGCTTGCTCAGACCTTGACAGTGGTCTGAGATTGAAAGAAAGTTTTGTTGAAGGGCTTCTCATAAGAGGAACTCGTGCGTTGGCTTCTTCCTCTTTCTCCCCCTTCACAAATTTCAAACTTGATCATTTTTGTACCCTCAGATCTTCTCATCAACCTTTGCTGTTCGGCCTCGTTTGGCCTCGTTCTATGGCCATGTTTGTTCCTTCATATTCTACAAATTTGTCCCCTTCATCTTACTATACACTTCACAAGTCAATCCAACACTTATGAGCAGGTCTCTTGGTTCATCCTTTTATATTTACAATCCCTCAATCATCTCTTTTATACAATTCTCAACTCGATTTTTTTTGGTTATTGTTTTTTTCCTTTTTTCAACTGTTTGTACTCTTCTTGTTGATGATCCAATGGATGAAATTACGAACTCATCCTTGCTTACTATTTATCAATGTAACCAATTGCCCCAAATCGAGAACTACAATAGGTCGCACTGGGCTGGGCTTCCTGCACCCAGAACCCAATTCAAAGCGGTCCAAACCATTTGAACTACATATTTGAATGCGTTTTGGCAATTGAATCAGGTCTCTCAGCGTCGCGCGGAACCTAAAGCAAGGATATCGCGCCGATGTCCTTGCTCTCATCCGCGCGACCTCCTCTGTGAGGATAATCAACGGAGATCGGGCAGATCTCCGTTGGATGTCGCAAGACAGGACATCCACCGGATGTCCTGATTGGACCGTAGTGTATCTGCGTGTCACTGCTCAGCGCACGGACCCCGAGCTCAGCTCGAGATTTTGCGTTTTTCCAACATTTCTGAGAACGACTGTAACAGTTTCAGTACTAGTAGCCCAGCCAGGCCCAGCCAGGTTTACCATTTGAGTACCTGGGGTCACATCTAAACTTATCCAAGTCCCGCGCTGCTTCTCTAGTGTGCGAGGAGCACCATGGGAATTGGATAAATACAGTCAACTCTGAAATAACCCATACCCCTTGTAACACATACTCTGGCCTAACCCATGCTTTTTTTGGTCCATAATTTCCACTTTTTAGCCCAGAAGACCATTGTGATAACACATACTCTATGAAAACCCATACCTTTTGGGTTCCATAAAAAGGTATGGGTTATTTCAGAGACAACTGTATACATAGGTGACATCCCACTGCCACACGAGGTGGTTCACAACATATTCAAAATTGTTACAGTTACATATCATCTTGTCTATCATTCACACCCTCAACACCTGCTTCCGGCAAGTTCAATGTGTCACTGTGTTGTTTTAACAGTTTCAGTACTAGCAGCCCAGCCAGGCCCAGCCAGATTTATCATTTGAGTACTTACCTGGGGTGACATCTAAACTTATCCAAGTCCCGCGCTGCTTCTCTAGCGTGCGAGGAGCACCATGGGAATTGAATAAGTATAGGTGAGACATCCCACTGCCACACGAGGTGGCAATTTCCTGCGAAGTCGTGTGACGATACTCCCGAGTTCCGACGCGGCCATCGAGAACGGAGATACATAACAATACCGCGGTAGACCGCGGTTATAGTTATACAAATATGGTGTCACATTCTATTGATTTGACATACTCATGACTAATGTCAAATCGCAATATTTACAAAATACAGTCAAACCGGAAAAGCTTGACCGATTTTGCCCGCAAAACTCGAGCAAATTGGCGGGGAATTGGTGGCAAGCTTTTCCGGTTTGACTGTAACACAGGTTCCTTGCCTGTGAGAGATGTCCGATACAAACTAAACTCAACAAAGTCCCACGCTGCGTCTCGCACGCTTCGAGCGCAGGAGTTTAGATAGGACCCAGGAATGCGCCTACAGAGGTATCTGATGAAACCTGTTTTTCAGTTTTTGGGCTCTACACAACACACCACTCCTTGTCTCAAGGTCCAGAGCACTTCAAAAGATGTGCATGGACTAGGGCTATCAAATGAGCCTACTCCCAGCCTCTCAACTCCCCTCACTTTCGCGCAAAATCGATTGGCGCAATTTTTTTTCGTGCCTCCAAGGCCTGATTCCGACGTTTGATTTTAAGGCTCTTTTTGACCGTTACATCCCATTATCTCAGGCAGTATTGGTGCTATGAGGCTGAAAGCTAGCTTAAACGAAAGCCTTTAATGTCACGCACATTTTGCACTACTGTAGGTGCTGTGAATGTGTCGTTTAGTGCCCTAAAAACCCGCCAACAAAACGTCGGAATTTACATCAGATACCTCTGTAGGCGCATTCCTGGGTCCTGTTTAGATACAAACCAAGGAATTCCTCCAGGGACTCAGTTGAGTTTTTGTAACAGCGTGGAGCTTTGATATGCTGGGATGTGAAAACCTTCGAGCTATCACGACAGATCACGACACAATTTCAACAGAGACTCAAAATAACTTGGAATAAATATCAAGAATAGCATCTCAATTTGAAATGGAAATGCCAGGAGTACCTCAGCAGGATCCTATAAAGCTGCTCTGTTTCTCGACCATCCAGGACCATTCTTCACTCCAAATTCACATTACGTCTACTAAACAATACCTGTACCATTTCCATTCGCATTTCGCTTTATAAATTGTTCATCATGAGGCTCTTCTTGTTCTGCTTATTAGCATCGTACGTCGTATACTTTGATATATCGCCTGCCGAAGTCACAGCCAGCGGCGCTCACTTCTGCACCCCAGACTATTGTGGTGACGTCTCCGACCCGAATGTCGACAACTCAATCGTGCCCTTATGCTCTACAGAATTGGGTAGCGGGGAGCTCGACCCAAGTCAAAAATATTCACTGAACAAGGGTTAGTGGATCCATTGATATGGAAAGATCATTCTGCCTGCGTGTCATCATCTTCTGTCTATTGCTGATATTGTGATGGTCACAATCTCTGATAGGTGTCTTGGCATGGAACGATTGGTCTCATGCCGGTGACCACTGTGACGCCGCAACGGAAGGCAGTCTTTTTTGTTGTCCAACTTGGGTGAGCACTGGAAATTTGCCTCGCAATCAGATTCAACCTTTCCTCCTTTCTATAACTTTCCATAAATCATCCTGACTCCTTACATTTTCTTGCAATTCCAGGACCTTGTGGGAACTTTTGATTATACAGGCAGCGATTGCACTTTCATTAGGGTGGGCTGGGCGGACGTTCCCGGTGTAAAAGAGGAGGGCGATTCAGACTGTGAGCCCTACTCATCAGGTGGCTCAGGCAAGCACAAAAAGAAGAAAGGTCAATAAGGGAAGAGAAACTCACACCGCAAGTAAGCTTTGCCAAAGTCAGTCGGACAAGAAATCCCAAAGGCTCTTGCTTTTCATATACATACACCAAATCTTCAATTCAATCCTTGTTTCTACGCTCTTTGAATTCACACTTCTTGATGCAAATTTGGATAGCAATTAACTATATGTGTAGTCGTGTCATTGGCCTCTTTGTGTTTTCTTTGTCAGTACATACCTGTCCAGTTGGAGTTTACGTTGATGTCTTTTGTACGAAAGAACGAGTCCGTCTATTAGTCCATTGTTGTTTCGAATCAAATATCTTCTTGGTGTAAGTTGTCGCGACTTTTATGAGAGTAACCCAGTTGAGCCATATCATAGGGGGAATGAAGGTTGTTGCACGACCATAATAAAGGACGTTTGAAAGGTTTGAAGCCCACTGAATCTGGATTGTAAGTAGTGGCGGAGTTTTATCATGAAAATTTTACCTGGGGTTTGGTTATCGAAAAGGCCACACGGGTGAAGGAAGTTCAAGTACGCAAAACGGCAGGAGCTTCATTTGAGTTCTGCTTAGAAAACACTCAACCAACTCTTGAGAAAGTGGGACTACAATGAAAGTAAAGGTATGGCCTTGTCCTACAACAACCTCAAGGCAGGATCGAAATTTTACTCATGCTTGCTCACTGTTTCCTTAGCAGTGTGTTCCCAGGAAGTGGTTTCAAAAACATATCCCTAGGATGAGAATGTATTTGTTTGAAAACTTATGAACGGGTTGAGCGGATGCATCATACTGGCTACTGCTCAAAAATGGAGATTTTTTGATTCGAAAGATATTTATGACGTGCCCTGTTCCATTCCATCGGCCTTGAAACAACCGCTGAAGCAAGATAAATCAACTGATACAAATATGTATATACAAATATTATTTTTTTGACTTTCAATCCTTGATCATCGCATACGTGGGAGCATTGAGGTGTTGAGACCCTTTCAAAAAAGAAACTTCAATCAAGAACAAGTATTCGATCACTTTGGCACCTAGTTTATCTACTAGCTCTCCGGCTGCTTTTGCCGATCCACCTATGAATCATTCCAGGTGAGTTTATGAACCTGTTTATATCAATAATGTTTTCATAATCGAATCACTTACCAGTAGCAATCAAATCATCAATAACAATGACATTTTGATCAGGCTTGATAGAATCCGCTTGAATTTCGAATACGTCCTGAATATCAAGATGCAAAAATTATCGACTCATCAGTTTGACCCTTTTAATCTTCCCAAAAAGCCATTTTGAATTTACTTACAGTACCATACTCTTTTACATATTCCGCTCCTACTACTTGACCAGGTAATTTACCTTTCTTTCGAATAGGTACAAATCCACAATTCAATCTCATAGCTAGAACTGGACCTAAAAGGAATCCCCTAGCATCTAATCCTACGACTACATCAATTTTTTTGTTCTCTAATTTAGGTATCGTCTCTGATGTTAGATGATGTATAAAATGGGTTATCAAAGTTTCAAATGCCAATGGGTCTAATGATGATGGAAAAACAATCGTGAGTTCAGATATCGTTCTGGAAAGCATGCAAATGTGATATAAGATGATTTACCTCGTAAGATTGGAAAGAGGTCTAAAAAGACGATTCCCTAGTTATTGTCATTGTCATAGGTTCAATCTAATCTGGCTTTTCATGTTTAAGAACTCGTTTTGGAAAGTGAATAACACACCTTCTTGGGGAAATCTGGGCTGATCACATGGAAAAGAAATATTTTTGTCAGATTCTAATTCGAAAAGGTGATCATCGCAGAGAGGAAAGCTTCTGACTGGACGCCCAGTAAACTCTTGAGATAAGCTACGTCTGACATCGTTTATGAATTCGAAGTGGCCTGTGCGATTGATATATTCTTCGGGTTGGCTATGATAGTAGTATGCAGGCTTGGGATGATATCCTTTTACTTATCAAGAAGCGAGATCAAACTTGCTTTAGGTGGATTTATCGGTAGCAAATTCCACCCGGAGCTATCGGCGGAGCTGGCCGGCTTGTGGCAGGGAAATAAAATCGCTGTATGGGAACTGGTATTGTTTTTGACAGGCTTTGCATACTAGCATATCAATATCCCTATAACATGAGGTAGACTGTATTGCCTTTTTCTGTAATTTCACACCACAAAAAAAGTTGAACAGCTGAACCACATTGAGAAGATTTCCAACTCAACCAACATCAAGAATGCCTTCAACTTTTACCGCAACTGGAACTCACACGAAACTATATACTGTAAATGGAGGTGTTGCACCAGGTCATACCCAACCAGATTGGCTTGGAAGTACTCTTACCCGAGCTCATCGAGACAAAGCTAAGAAAAAACGAAAACCTATTGCACCGGGTACTGAAGGAAAAAGTTTAATTCAGGTTAGTGATCTAGAAAAGGTTCTTGTAAGGATTATTGAATCGGTTTGAAGTTGATTTGTAAACCTTTGATTATTTAGGATTTTGATTTTCCTGAAGCTTCCAATAAAATTAAATCGACTTCTGATGGACGTTATATGATCGCTACTGGAACTTATAAACCACGAATGAAAGTGTTTGATTTGGATGAATTAGCTATGAAATTTGATAGAGTAACAGATAGTGAAAATATTGACTTTTGTGTAAGTTCAAAAATTCACATTCTCGGATTTCAAACAAATTGATGTGAAGCATTTCACTCACATTGCTTGTTTTTTATGACTACAGACTCTTTCGACGGATTGGACAAAGACAATTCATCTTCAAACTGACAGAACTCTTGATTTACATACACAAACTGCTTCACTCTATCGAGTACGGATACCCAAACACGGTCGAGCCTTAGCCTATCATTTTCCATCTTGTGATGCATTATGTGGTGGAGCTGGATCAGAATTATGGAGACTAAATTTAGAACAGGGTAGATTCTTAGCACCTTTTCAATTATCAGAAGAAGTTTTAGGTATCAATACTATCGATATCAATCCAGTTCATGGTCTTATTAGCTTAGGAACTGAAACAGAAAGTGGCGAAGGTACAATAGAGTTTTGGGATCATCGAGCTAGAGCTAGAGCTGGTCGACTTTCTTTACCTTGTTCATCATTAGGTGGAGGTCCTATATCAAACTTGGCTACTACTCAAAATTCGGTTCCAATTTCGGTCACAGCACTAGCATCTCGCCTTGATGGACTGACAGTAGCAGTAGGCACTTCTAGTGGTCATACTTTACTTTACGATCTTAGAGCAGCTATGCCGCATACAACCAAAGATCAAGGTTACGGATTACCCATCAAGAAGATCGAGTGGCCTACATCTATTGCTGCTAGTGGATTCGGACAGAATGAAGGGTTCGTTGCTACAGCTGATTCAAACGTAGTCAAGATCTGGTCACGTCATACCACCGAAAACTTAGTTTCAGTCAATCCAGTTTCACCTATCAATGATATGCATATCTATCCTGAAAGTGGATTAATCTTTTTAGCAAATGAAGCAAGTCCAATGACAGGGTACTTTGTTCCAGCACTCGGTCCAGCTCCTAAATGGTGTCGATTCTTGGAAAATATGACAGAAGAGATGGAAGAATCAAAAGAACCTGCTATTTATGATGATTATAAATTCGTATCTGATTCAGAATTGAAAGCTTTAGTTTTAGATCATTTGATTGGTACACCGGCTTTAAGACCTTATATGCATGGTTATTTTGTTGATCTAAGGTTATATGCTAAGGCTAAGGCGATCGCTAATCCATTTGCTTATATTGAACATCGAGATAAATTGGTCAAAGAGAAACTTGAAAAACAACAAGAAAGTCGAATTCGAGCAAGTAAAGCACATCAAAAATCTCATGAAGCTGATAAGATGTTGGAAGAAATCAAGATTAATAAAGAACTCGCTGAAAGGATACTTGAGCAAGACAATAAACTTCAACGTAAACGTCAACAAGATCATTCATTGGATACTGAACAGAAAGCGGCACCTAGTGGATCATTATTACAAGACTCCAGATTTAAAGACTTGTTTACAAATGAAGATTTCGAAATTGATGAATTTTCAAGAGAATACGCAGCAGTGAATCCATCAAGTGTTGCATCGGTTAGGAAGAAATTACGAGATATGGGTCATGATTCTGAGAGTGAGGGTACGGAAGTTGGTTCGGATAATCAATCGGATGGAGAAGAAGAAATTGAAGATTCAGATGATAGTAGTGAAGATGATGATATTTGGAAGAAGAGCCGACGTAAAGCCGAGAGTTCAGACAAACGACAGAAGCGTAAAGCAACAACCCAACAAATACCAACACCATCAGCTTCAAACGAATATGAGCCCAACAATCGTCCTCAAATGCTCATTGATCAAGATGATGCAGATGCATTGGCTCTTAGGTCGAGATCAAAGCAGACCACATTTGGGAAACGTCTAGCGGGTGAGACTGAAGGAGGACGGAAAGGAAAAGGAAATAACTCTGATAGCAAATCTGAATCTGTCCGGGTTTTACCTGGAGGTGGAATGGAACTTTCATTTATCCCGTCCGAAGAACCGGTTCAGGAAGCACCTTCGAAAGCTAAGCCTAAAGCAAAAGTCAGTGAGACATTTGGGATTGGATTATCGAAAGGAAGTAAAGAAGATGACGAGGTACAACTTGAAGGGGAGGAGAAAACTGGTCGAACTAAACGTAGAAGGGTGGAAAGGAGTGCTAGTAAAACCAAAGTTAGATCACTTTGAGCGTGCATTTTCATATCACAGTCTTCTCGGGGGGCTCAGATTTCGTGTTTTGTGGAGTTTTATCCTAACGGGGCATTAACTTGCTTATTAAAGTACTTTTTCTTCATGCAATTGAATGTTTGTTTTTCATGGTGGTTCATACATTGCTTCTCAGGTCTGTGTCTAAGTAATCATACTGTTTATATCAACTATTACATCGAGATTATTTTTTTGGATATGACCCCGAATTATTTCTTATTTTTTTCTTGTTGGTACTTAGTCAGTCATGTAGTAATAAAAGTGAGCTCATAACAGGACCTCTGCAGTTGGTTTGACTTGATCGCACTATATATATTTTATTCTTGTCAATCCCAGATCTTGTCATATCTCGATAAGTTTTCAGTCAAAACCATGTAGAAGCCTTATGATTTGTCAATGTAAGCACACATCAAGTTCATCATAATCTTACATACGCTTAACTAGAAGTAGCACGGGCGTAATTGTGATATTTAACCTCATGTCGTGCTTGCATTGCACCTCTAAAGTGTATGATTTTCTGAGAGAATTGCAACCTTTTAACAAGCTGATCAGAACTGATCAGGAACACGCCAAGACTCTTTTCCCTCAACACATGGTCCTCCTGCCAATTCCTTGTGTACATACAATGTTGAAGGAAGTGTTAAACCAGTGTCACTTGGGATACAGGGCTTCATAGTTCGCCGGGCCTTAATTTCTTAAGGGGTGTAAGAAATTTGCGGTCTTCCATGACCGCAAAGGCTGATGTCCGCAAAAGTCAATTAATCCCGGGGCAAAGTTAAATTTTACGATCATTCCAATTTTTCCAAAGCTCACAAAAAAAATTGATGTAAAATAATGACCGTAAAATTGGGCCACAGGTGTCAAATTATTTATTTTTACGGTCATGAGTTTGCGGACATTAATGTACGTAAACAATAATACTCGTAAAAGTGTAAACTTTTGGGGTAAAGTTGAGTTTTGCGACCAATGTTTTGCAGTGTACAAAGACCGTAAAAAACTTTCCGAAATATAGATTGCAAAAGTGAAAATTATCATTTTTAAAATGTAATTTTGCGATCCAAACTTTACGTTCAAAAAAATAAAAGTAATTCATTACGAGCACGAAAACAGCTTGAACAAAATGCAAGAAAAAGTGACCAGCGAGAAAAAGAAATGAGGATGGAAACTTCAAAGAAAGTCAAGAAGGTAACACACACAAATGTAGCTCGAAGGAGTGACTAGAAGATGAATACCAATTACGCTTGACAATAGGAGTGAGACTCAATAGAACAAAAAAAGACTAAAAAGAGACTTGAAAGAGAAACTTGAAAGAGTGACGAGAAAATAAAGAAAAATTATCGAGTAACCTACGCTATTACGTTCTCTTGCGTTTTGTACGCTTTGACTTCCGTGGTGCAATACTTTGACCCTCATCACCTTCTTCGGCGGCCTCCAACACCTCATCATCATCCTCCTCCTCTTCCACAATGGCCCATCCTTTCCAACCTTTCGCCTTTTTGGCTCCTTTAACTAAAACCCCTTCTTCTTTCTCTTCACGTATCTTCCTTTTCCTGGTTGTCTTATTAACTGTTTCCTTTTTAACTATAAGAAATAAAGAAGAACATACATAAGAACATAAGAATCAATGACTGCAGAATTGATATCTGAATAAAACAATCGAAGTGCTCACCTGGTTGTGGACTCTCCTTCTTTGATTTCTTTGATATCCTCTTCCTCTTTGGCAGAGGAACTTCGTCATCTTCATATTTGTTTTCTTCTTTCTTGGTTTCTACAAGAAATAAATGAAGAACATACATAAGAACATAAGAATCAATGACTGCAGAAATGATATCTGAATAAAACAATCGAATTGCTCACCTGGTTGTGGACTCTCCTTCTTTGATTTCTTTGATTTCTTTGATATTCTCTTCTTCTTTGGCAGAGGAACTTCGTCATCTTCATATTCGTTTTCTTCTTTCTTGGTTTCTACAAGAAATAAATTCATACTGATTGTAAACAATAGGTAAAGCAAACCAACCAAATAAAGACTCACCTGTTTCACGTAGCTTGGTCTTCAGCTTTGCCAAAGGAGGAGCTTCGATTTCTATATAATAGAAATAGATGGCAACATCTCAATAAACAAGAATCTAGTACATTGCAAAAGAAAGAAATCACACACCTTCTGCGTCATTGGTATGTTCTTTTTCCTCACAAATTGGTTGTGAAAAAGGTCGGACAATTACGTTATTTTTACCCAGAGACCTGCTTATCTTCGTGTTGGCATCATTGGAGATAGAAGCTTCTTTATCTGTAGGAGCTCGCGAATACATCACCCATGATGTATTTGCTATTTGACCCCCAATCACTTCCACATCACTTGACAGAAACGTCGCTATTCCTGCATTTTCCAAATCATTGTGGCCCCATACCCCGGTCAGGTTTCCTACTGTACGTACCACTTGACACCAATAATGTTCACCATTCCAAAAACCTCGTGCTCGCATTAAGTAGATAGTTCCGTCGAGTATCATTTCGTATGGTAAGTTACACTCTCTCATCATCTTGAAGGCTTCGGAGCGATTTGTTCCATGTAGGTAGGCAATGTCAACTTGGATATGGAGATGAGGAGGTGGAGGATTGAGGTGAAGTCGTGAGTGGAATTCCTTGTAAGGCTGGGCATGAGGATTCGTCGTGGTCTTGCAGCTTTTACAATACCGATTTGAACCTTGATAGCTACCTGTGGGAGCCCAATCATGTAGGATCTGGGGTGTTTCAGAATAAGATTCATCACCGTTGTAATTCTCGTGCGATAAAATGATAGTGTTGAGATGTGATACTTCTACTAAGACATGATCTTTGTTTTTTGGACATGTGTATGTGCGTTTGAGGTCAACACGAAACAAAGTTTGTGTGATTGCTGGAGAGGCTGGCTCCTTAGGTCGTGTTTCCCGATCAAAAATACCGCTGAAGTATTGGTCAGCAGAGGAGTATCTGTCCAGAAGGAAACTTCCAGGACATCGTTGTTGAATAGCTGTGTGGAGACTATTTTGGCCATTAGAAAGGATGCTACGAATTTTACCTGCCTGACCCATTTCCCAGGTGGACCTTGACAAAAAAAACTTCAATAGTTTCGCAAAGATATGATCTGATTTTCCTGAAGACTTGGTGTACCACAACGCCGTATGAATGGCATACAAGCATTCAGTCATGGCATCAAGCCAACACCTGAATTGACGACCAGGAGTTGAGGAAGCATAAAATCCAGGGTACGTAGTGACCGGGTTCCGGTCCACATTCACGGAACCTTTAGGACGTCCAAGCTTCTTGCTACGTCCTAGCAATGCATCAGTCGTATCCGGGGGTCTTCCATTGTTCTTAGCTTCGCGCTTTTTTCGAGATTTCTTGGTCCAGCCAAGAACTTGTGCTACTTTCTTGTAGTTCTTAGCCTCATCCCCATACACTATTGCCACACCGCGAAGCCTGTCCTCATGGTCCCTTTCAAGACAGGCCACCAAGGCATACAGCTGCACGATACCAATCTGAATGGAGCAGTTTCCTTTGCTGTGAAGGAAAAAAAGCAATTCAATGATTAATTCAAAAGCTTACAAAGAAAAATCAAAAACATACGCTATCATGTAATACACACGATGCATCGATTCTTGTGCATTTGTTGTTGACGGCATGATGTCATCGCAAAGGCTATCGTCGTCAAGTTGCTTTTGTCGTGATTTGAAAAGCATTGACTTTATGTTGGATGCTTTCCACCATTCAAGCCACTGTTTGGCTTTTGGGAACTGCTTAATCATTTTTTTTAACTTCTCATCAAAAGTTAAACTACCTGGCCGGTCTAGTTTTAAAAGTGAAGATGCTTGCGCTTGAAATGAATCCTGTAAATTCAAATATAAAAATATCAGCAATATGAAATACAAATGGAATTGTAATAATTAAACACATACCTCATCCTTTTCAGGTATAATTGCTCGGTTGCGCTTGACCCGAGTGACTTGAGCTCAAAAATGTTCATGACAACCTTGAAGTTTGGAAAGTGCCACTGCCGGATCAGTCTCCTTAAAAACCTTCATGTACGCTTTGACAAATCTGTTCGCTTGGGCCAATGAAAAGTCGACTACCTGTCGAACCAGCGTATCACGTTCCTTGACGGTTATTTCGGCATGCTTGAATTGTTTCATCAGGGTACTGAAGTGTGCGGCGTAGTGATTTTCCGTCATGCCTTTCAGCCAAGTCAAAAGAATTGGGATCCATCGTCGCAGATCCTCGTGATACATAGAAGTTGATAAAAGATAACCGTTTTTGAAAAACTTGTATGTTACGTCTGAGAGGAGACCGCCACCATAGACCCTGTTGTCCTCGTCTCGAGCCATCAGCTGCTGATGCATCCAATCCGTTTGAAAGGTCATGTGCATGTTCACACGCTTCATAGAACATGATACAACGTTCAAACCGCGCCTGAAGCCAGAATTAAACCAGGAAGACCAAAAAGAAGTGGCAGAATATATATAAGTATCGTAATCACAAAGAATATAATTATCTTGAAATAGAAAACATACTCAGACCAGTGATACATGTCCATAATGAAGTTGTCTGCCGCTCCTGGAACACTCTTTTCGGGGATAACACCTGCTTCCCCAAGGAGCTTACGTCGATAGTAACCAGTCCGATGTAGGTTGCCAAAACCTGCATGGATGTTGCTAGCGGTAACAATTTCCTTCTTGCCTGCAGGAGCTCGTCCGACCTTGCAATCAAATAATTATTAGTAATCTTTTGAAATGGTGCAGAATGAAATGAATTCGAGTGTACCTTGTGTCGTAATGGTCCCACATCAGGGTTTTCAACTACCCGTTTGGCAAACTTGGCCAAAGACAACTTGTCCGGCTTGCCACGTCGAGGCCATCGATGGTTATGGATCCCAGAGTGGCGTATGATGCCCCAGCCGCTGACATGTTCGTCCAACCGGCATAAGGTGTCATTACATTCAATATATTGAAGTTCCTCAGTACACCTTGCAGCAGGACATTTCTGAGGTCTAAATCCATATGAGAGCGATAATGGTCAGAAATATCATCTTTTTCAAAATATTGATACTTTGAAATACTAACTTGCTCATCCATTCTGCTCTCTTGGGGGCTGCTGTTGGCGGTGATCCAAGATAATCACAACCAAGACTCTTGCAGACTATGACCCCTAGACAGCTATATCTGACTGTTCGCCAGTCACCTGGGCCTTTGCTTTTGCCACCAGACGATGTATAAGTGAATCCAAAAGTCCCCCAGTTGGTGAACTTTTGCTTGGCTGATAGTCGAAGACAGACAGTGTTTCCATTTGGGAATAATGGATAACCTTCGTCGTCAAGGGTAGTGTTGTCATCTATGAATGTTTCGAAAGATGGACGGTCCAAGGGTAGCCTGAAGGTTTTCTTAACTTTGATAGCCACCTTCCGACCCTTCGTTGAATTGGTAGAAATGGAGGATTTCTTTCCCTGAGACTGTAATGGCGGAGAAGTAAGAGGAGGTTTTCCCTTGGTCGAATTTGTAGAATTGGATGATTTGTTTCCCTGAGACTGTAACGGAGGAGAAGTAACAAGATTTTTCGAAGCAAGATAAGGTTTTTCATCTTTGAATTCAACTTCTTCAACTTCTTCATCTTCTTCATCCTCACATACATCTTGTTCATCTTCTTCGTCTTTGTCTTTGTATACAACTTGTTCATCTTCTTCGTCTTTGTATACATCTTTTTCATAAATTTCAGGCTCAGAGTCACTGATATGTGAATATTGATCTCCTTCAGAGTTGCTACAGTAAGATGGGTCACTCATGTTGGTGAACGTAAATTTTATTGATTAAATTCTTGATAGTAATGATTAAAGGTCAATTGGGTATTATTGATAAAGCAAAACTGATCAAAATGTGGAATTAAACGGTAGAAACTGATTGAAAGGTGGAAATAAATGATAATTGAGATTAATGAGGAATTGAATTATGATGTGGTTATTGTTGAGGTTGATTGGTTAGAGAGAGAGAGATATGTAAGATTATTCTGATAAAGAGATGATGTTGTTGAACTAGCAAAACGAAATGATCGTTTCTAAACAAATTGATCAGTTGAAAGCTCGAAAAGATCTTTCTTTCTTCATCATGAGGGCTAGTCATTATGACACCCCTTTCCTCTCGTTTCAATATCTGTCAATCCTTGGCTTTGGATCGGTAATATTTCATCAATCCGTCGGATTGGTAGTGATTGCTTTCTTCATCAATCCGATTGGATTGGTAATTATCTGCTTTGATCGCAAATTTGAACATTTTGTGCGAAATGATTGACTTTTCAGGTTATTGTTTTGCGATGCTTTGAAATGACTGTGAGACTTGGCCTGTGAAAGTATCGATTAGAGGCGATTTATGTACTTTTGCGAGGATTTTTATTTGCAATCAAAATGTGTCGCGAAGTTCAGGTTGCAAAATTATATAATGTATGTACAGGGATGTAAATTTCAGGTGATCTTTTTGCGACTGTATTTTTTGCGATCATTCTGAATTAGGGTTCAACTGTAAAAATATGATTTGCCCCGGGATAAATTGACTTTTACGGACATCAGTCTTTCCGGTCTTTAATGACCGCAAAGTGATGATCGCAAATTTCTACGATCCCATTTCTTAATGCTTATTACCTTTCACCACCATGTCCTCAATTGCGTTCACTTACGGCTTTCTCTCCATCTCACCTCTCTTTTGCTCATAAAGTTGGATCATATGTTTCATAAAGAGTTGTCAGTTTCTTCTTGTCTCCCTTAAATCAGAGGGATCATCCTTGTGTGGATTTGCATACAACTATCGAGGGCTACAAGTGATAATGATAACAAAGGAATGACTGTTCTCTCAAAGGAGACATTTTTTAGTCGAGACAGTCTCAATTGTAAATAGATGTGCTCTAAATGTGGTAGCACCTCGGTTATATAGTTCAAGAATGTAGACATGAGACTTTATTGTTCTTCGTAGCGCGACGCTCTCGATTACTGCTCCATACTGTCAGTGTCACTGATTAGGTCTTGTTTATAGTTTTCTATCAACCCATGAACACGTGTTTTGATGCTTCGCAACGCTTCAATTGAGTCGTCGGTTTGTGGGTTTTCTTCCATGAGCTTTTTCCAAACATCAATGCTTGTCTTGATGTCCTTTTTTGCACGTTGTAGGCTTGTCACTAGGTTCGCCAACCTTTGATATTCTTGATCACTTATTTCTCCTTTTATCAAAGAAGGTTGCACGTTATTCTCATCGTAGATCGTCAGTTTTTTCAGAAGCTTATCACCGTCTTCAGACGCTTCTGATACTCTCTTCCACGCTTCTGTTTACCTCAAAGATGATGAAGTAAGAATAACTTTAATATTCAGTCCATTCACGCAAATTGACATAGGAAACATCAACGCACGTTCTCCAAAAGCATCCCTTAGCGAAAACTTTACATCCCCTTGCGAAACTCCGACTATCCCTCCGGTCGACAAAGCCGCACCCCCAGAGGATCCTCTTTTTTCTAAAACCTGATCAAAAAGATTGATAGCTTTCTTGACCAATGGTCCATTGCCTTCAATGAATCCAGAGAGTGTTTCTACCATATGTTGTCTTTCACTACCGATAGAAATGACCGCTTTTGCCAATGACGCGCCAACACCATGGATATGCTGTATATTGTGAGTCACGTATCCTGCCAAATCCGTCCTCCATAAAGATAGAAACTCTGTCTGTCTACTATCCGGGAATAGAAGACCGACCGTCTGGAGTAAGGTCCAAGTATCGGCGTGCTCCACTTGAGGGTGAACAAATTCTCCGACATCTGATACAATCAAGGGTTGCCAGGTATATAACGGAGTCAAGATACAGAGTGATACAAAGTGTTAGTTCTTTTGATAGGATAGACAGATCTCGACGGAAATACATCAGGGAATGCAAGTGTGCCGCTATAGCCCGAAACGACGTACATGGAGGGAAGAATTTGGGTTCTTTCAAGGTCGATTTCTGCAGCTTGACCAAGGGCTTAGACTTCCCAACGGACAATGCAGATATTTCCGAGTTGAGCGCGTCGGTTTCAAAGGATATAGCATGCGTTCGAAAACTATCCACTGGTAGCTCTTCCCCTATCGCGAACCTTCTTTTCTCCAAAACACGAGACCGCGACCAACTCAAAGCAAGCGAAATGAAGAATAAAACGTATAAACGATTGTTTAGCATCGAGCCCATGATGTGTAACAAAGAAGAGGATTCTATGTGGAGAGGCAGTTGAAAGATCTTGCAAAGAGCAGGAAAGATGGAATATGGACTAAAAATTGATCAATGAGGATAGGTAAGATATATATATATATATATATATTTACGTCGAAAAATGATTCACTGTGCTCTCAGAGGAAAATTCGCGGATGGATCTTTACTAAAAATGCTATTAAAGGCTTCTAGACGGTGAAAATTGTGGCTGCTTGATAGCAAAGGAACGGAAGTTCTAACAGCATTACGAGGGTATTTATAAGTCAATCACTCCTATGATATCCATTACCTAATTTGTCTGAGCCGTCCTTCAGTAATTGTACCAGCCGATCTTACCGAGATGATCTCAAGTTCCCGTTTCAGGGACTGGTGAGACCAGATCTTCGAGGACACAATCGACTCCGGCGATCAATGAAGGAGTGAATGAAATGACCAAATGGAATGATAGTCTTCGCTATCTTCCCTTCCCTCCGTACCTCAGACTCTGTACTCTGGAATTGAGTTCAATAAAATCCTGAGCGCACCACTTAAGTTTGCGCAGACTTGTGTCCCCGACATGTGCCGCTCTACGTACTTCCGTATCCCTCGATTTAGAGTGGAAGGCTATGACACATGTGTTTTAGCAGATGTACCCTGATACGGCTACTGATGTCAATGGCTTTGGACAGACAAGGAGTCATCCTGTGGATGAGTTATGATCCGTCGAAACAGGAGCATACATGCATATATGATAGGATGGCGATGACCAAGGCACTTGAAAGAATGCGGGGAATTATTTTCATATGGGTTACGCACAACCATCATCATATCGTGAATTGCTGATAGGCCGGACGGTCGGATCTACAAAAAAGAGACACAAGCATGCTTCCAGTACAAAAATTGAAATGCCATGTCCCAAACTTCTCTTGCATTTAAAGTCGAACCTTGACGGAAACAACTTCACCGCGGCGATGTCTTTAAGTGGTTTGACGTCCCTTCACGCAGCCACTGGGCTTGCCGAGGGAGGCTTTAAACACCATTTCAGGTTTGACAGAACAGCATCGGCATCACAGCCATAGACATCGCCCTCTTATTCTCCTCTTTGCCGCACTTCCGCTCTAGACCGTACGTAAGAGGATCAATAGTGATAGCGGAGAATCAGGCTCAAATATCTGTAGCGACGGCGCAAAATGAGAGGATGCGTTATCATCGTACTTGAAATCGACGAAGTAGACCATCAATGTCAAACAAGCGAGGAAAATGTATGTCTCGTTGAAAGGACGTAGGGCAGGCACGTTCCGATGCCTCCTGGCAGTCGCAGAAAGTTGCTGACCCAAACTGTGTTGAAGGTCGGATAATACGTTATCAGACTTGTTTGGACTGATCACATCCCAGCAAGTTGCAACAGAGACAAATCAAGAGCTCTCGAACATCTATACTCGGGGTAATGGAGGAGAAGGTCCTGTTCGACGAGGCTCCACACCACTGAACACCAACACTAACTAGTGCGGAGCTCGGGTGCGGTAAGGTAGATTTACCGCCATTTCAGGGCTACTTTCACAACGGTACAAAATTTGACCCGAGTCTCGGTTATAAGTGGAAATCTTGGTGATAGATACCATGGCCAAAATCGCAGTCCTGCTTCACTAAAACAGATTTGTATCTAGATGGTGCAACGAGTTACAGAGTGGTGCTTTATTACATGTGTCCTATGCCCCAAACCGGGACGCATGCCGGAACTACTTGAATCAGTATGCCGTCAAACAGGACCATACACAAGATTAAACCTTCAAAATCATAGAATCCGAATCGATGATGGAGGAGTTGTCTTACACGTAATCTCCGCGACAATTCTTCTAATTGACGCAACAAGTGCACGTATTCTTCAATGTATAATCTTCAAAAATGAGAAACCTCTCTTGAATTGTAGTTCAAATTTGCAAAAAAGACATGCTAACCATGTCAATATCCTTGTAGCACGTTGATGCGCACACGTGGAGAGTTTTGAAACAAATCTGAAAGTATTTTGGTAGGATTTAGACTGAGCTTGTTGTTGAGCACCCTTGGTGAATAGTGATTTCTTGAAGGATTTACGGAATCCTTTGTGTTCAGCTTGGGTCATCTGACTGTCAACACTGCAGTTGATGAGGGGAAGATACACCTGTTATGGCACCTCTTTGATGGGTCTTAATTACAGAGTCTAAGGAAAGACCTTTGTGGGCGCACATCAGTGTGCTCCAAGGATATTTACATGGTGACAGTGTTAAAGGCCATGTAAATGTTCATGATTCAATATCCAAAGGCAAATATAATGTGTGATACATTTAGAGCATATAACGATGAAAACAAAACAAAATCCAGACATCCTTGGTGTTCCAGAATCACATGGCGGATTCCCTTTGTCCACACTCCAGAAGTAGCTTGAACAATTGAAGGATACAAAGTAGAAGCCGGGCACGTGCCCGGCTTCGTGCCCGGCTTCTACTTTGTATCCTGTAAATGATCAAATCAACTCGTTGTTGGTAACTGGTTATTAACACAGTGGAATGGGGAAAGTTGGATATGTACATGTGGTCCTGTAACTAACAATTCGGGGCTTTTTTCACTTTAACTAATCTCTGATTACAGGATGATGTCATCCTGTTGACCATTTCAAATCCAACTTTTCCCATTCTCATCACCATCGTCAAAGTTTATTCATCATTGCTTTTATAGTTATATCTTCAAGTTCCATTCAAAACAAGTTTTTTCGATAAAGAAAGGTTTATAAAAAAGCTTCCTCTTAATATATCTTTCTAAAAAACCTACAAATGAGCAATGAAGGATCATTTGATTACAATGATGCAAAAGTGGTCACCGAGAAGTTGGAAATCTTATCCACTGAATATGAATCAGTTGGCGGTTCCAACGGTAGATCTATGGCAGAGATCAGATCATCATTTGCTGAGATTGTTCCGTACGACACCAAACTGGTACCGACAATGGTCCAAGTTTGCGTCCGACCTTATCAAATCAGATAAAGATAACGGTCGTCCCATCCATGAGAATGAGGGACCTATTCCTACAAGGCCGGTTACATCAGATGATGACCCGGTATACGTGTTTGACATATCTACGAATCCAACGTTTCCGGATGATATTGTTCTGGAAAGAAGGAAAGATTTTCAAGGGGGTCAACAAACGGGCCAAGTCCATATTCTCACCCAAAAAGAAATCGACATGGCCCAAACGGCAAGAAACCTGCTGGATGCCGAGAATGAAAAAGAAAGTAGATCATCTCGAGCAAGATCTAGTCCTCCTGCCAGTCAGAAGAAGCGTAGTAAGAAATCAAAACATCATAAAACGGACATCGACTCCGAAGATTCAGATGATTCAGATGCCAAATTGGCGAAGAAATCGAAGAAATGGGATTGGTCTTCCAGAGCTCTATCAGGCCCGAATTCAGAAAGTTCCTACACACCTGGAGCAATTCGGTTTGCTAATGCTAAAAAAGGTTACGCATCAAGCCTGTCCTTGGCGGTCAAAGGATTTAACAGATCAGTTAGACGTGCAGATTTTGCTAAAACTCTATCTAAAGAATTGTTGGAAGGAGAATACATTGACCTCCGTCGTATTAAAGGAGAATATATGGCGAAACAAAAAGGTTATAATGCACCACTTACTTTGGACGGAAAAGATAAAAACTTATCTTTACAAAACAAAGCACTATCCGAAAAATTGGTCAACACTCAAGAATGGTTCTATTACTTCGACATTCTTCAAAAAACTTATCAGGAAGCATTTCCAAGTTGTTACGAGGATTTTTCAAAATACGCTGATTTTATCAAAGATCAATTCATGTCGGACGGTTCAAAAGCTGATTGGATTTGTGTGGCGAATTTTGACGCAGCTTTGCGTCGAAATTTTGCAGCTAAGGAGAATTTGTCTTTTGGGGATTTTGATCATAAGTCTCTTTCAACTCTCGCAATGAAATATATGGCAAAAGCTTTCAAAATACGACAACCAGAAGCGTCAACAAGTTCATGACCTTACCAAGGTCCATCCAGACAACGTTCAAACCAACGAGACTCATTTGTTCCAAAACCTCAAAATTCACCTTTGTACTATAATCATAACTATAAGTACAAAAACGGATTGGGTGTTGAAGATACAAGGAATATGCGGGAAGAAGAGCAGTATTGCTTCGCATATAACCTCGGGAACTGTAAGCTGGGTGAAAAATGTCTCCGACAACACCGATGTGTTGGTATTTTTTCATATTGTTTTTCCTAAAAAAGTTTAAGAATCGTCGAGACATATGTGTTAAAGAGACTCAGTACGAGAACTAATGTATGTCATATTTTACAGAACGTCAAAGGGTGTCGGAACCAGCACCCAGGAGTTGAGCATACCTGAAGGAGATAAAACATCTGTCTTTGGGTTGGTATTTCTCTATCCCAATCTAAAAAATGTTTCATTTTATCAATATGATATTTATCACAAGAACTGACATATGAAGTGAATTACAGATTATCGAAAAGGAAACAGGAGATGATTGTGGAAGAAGACATGTCGCATAAGTTTTTACGAGGCTATATCTGGGACGGAATCAACAACAAGGGCTGTTCTCCAGCAATCGAATCCAGTATTTCCGCCAGACCATTTCCAGATGCACCATTTTTTTTTTTTTTCATTGTTTTAAGTGTTTTTGTAGCCGCTAGGCTATCAAACACTTGTAATATGTCCAGCACCGGTAAAACCCCTCTGGCTGTGTCAGGGGAAAGGGTTACTGTTGGCTGTTTCATCTAAGTTACATGTTTGTATATAATAATGTGGAAAGGGCGATGAAGTATGGAGATAATAGAAATTACTCTATTGGTTGTGTCCTGTTTGGTAGAAGTTGATGGTTGTTGGTACGTGCCCATATCCATCGGTTAGCAAATCTCCAAGTGGAGTTACAATATGTTGCAATTAGCTTGAGGCAGGCGGGGTTGGTAAGGATGCGTTTGTCCATCTTTGCA